AAGCACAGTAAATCATTATGAGTACATGAGGAGCAACAACAACTCTCGAAGTGATAATTAACAGTCGTTGCTTATTGCATCTAGAAAATCTCTTGTTTTCCTTCGAAATTTTTTAATAATGCGTCTAGATAAGCTACTCGTTATGGAGTCTCATTAAGGTGATAAAAGTATCTCTGAGTATCTCTACACATTGTTTTAATTAAAAAGATAATATTCAACAATATACATATATCTAAATGAAACAATATCATTAAATATATGTGTATGTTAAGCGTGAAATCATTCATTACATACAAAATATTAAGCTCTTATTTTGTTTACAAATTGTTGAAAAATAAGAAAATATTATAAATTATCTGATAAAAGTCACTCAGTTATCGAAAACTTTTAGTTATTTCGTTGGATTTGTCATTTATGAATTCACAAAACTTAAACCAATGTTATTTTTTACTACGATGTCTGAATGTTACATGTCGTTAGTTCCGTAGCATTTCTTCTTCATCTATCTTCTCTCTCAAGCAAAATCTTATTTCGTCAGATGAAATTCCATGGAGGTTTCTAGTTTGTCGTCGGTTGCCTGAACCTAGACGTCATCAGTATCTCCTTTTCTTTTACTTTTCGCGTATATTTTCTTTTTATCGTTATTTTATTTGTCGTTTTTCCATCGTTATTTTAGTAGCTCGAAATAAGTATGTATGAGAATACTGCAAGAAACTAATTTTATTAACATTCTATGATGAGACTGCCAATATTTATAATATCGCAAAGCTTTAATCAGCTACACTTACACCATGCTCGCTTTTTCGATCGATAGTGTAATAAAAGAAAGTTTCATAAAGAAATATACACATTTAGAAGTACAACATATTCTAAAATATTAAAATGTCTTTAATATTAAAATATTAAAATATTAGAATTTAAAAAAGATATTTAAGATATAAATTTTTGAGAAGCTTATTTGTAAAATCATCCACGGACGGCAACATAATAAACTTGTTATTATTTTAACTAAGAATAGATTTATTATTTTAACCAAGAAATAGTATAAAGTTTATAGCTTCTCTGCACCATTCGTGTACTTGAAGTAAGTTATTTATTCAAAATAAGTTATATAGTAGATGTCTCTCTCTCTCTCTCTCTCTCTCTCTCTCTCTCAGTCTAAATCCATTTTTATATTTAATTAAATTTGCTAATTAAAATATGACAATTTTAAATAAATAGTTAAGAAACAACGTATCCTTGATGTTTACTTCTCGTAAAAGAAATTTCACGAAAAAGACATGGAACACAGCATGACGTAATAAATCGCAAGGTATACTGCAATGCAAAAAGAAACTTCAACTTCAATCGATTCCGTATACATGTACATACACTTGACGATATACCGAATTCTTTCGCGCAGTCAATATTGATCAATGCAACTCACAGCGTTCACTTACGATGAAGCGGAGAAAAATGCCGGAAATTCGTATACGCCCTTCGCCATATTGGTAGCATGGTTAATATGACCAGAAAGGAAGGCAAGGACGAAGGATTGTAGTATGATAGGCTCTCTCTTTCTCTATAGAGACGAAGAGAACGTTATACTGTGCATATTGGAAATCGATAAGTACACTCGCCTGTTGCCACATTGCATACGCATTTGTCCGATTTCATGAATGTTGTATGTATTGCACGGTACTAATTCTTTCTGTCGAGCATGACCTATCTTCATACATGACAACATGATATGATTTGTCGATGATACTTGTCGTGAAAACGTTTAATTACTCATTTTACAACTCGGATAATGTCTGTTTCCTTAATCATAAGAAATCTTTTAAAGTTTCCGTCACAATTTTATAAACTGAGAAACTTACATTAGATGTCGATCGTTTAATTTTAAGTCATATTTGTCGACGCTTTCTTTGCAGCAGCAAAAATTCGTAACACAGAACGTGAAAAAAAATATGTGATATTTATTTGGCGGATAGCAACAATAAGAAAAATTGGAAAAAAATTAATAACAAAGATGAATTATATTAATGTTGGTTAAATGCAAGTATTTTTGATAAAAATTTGGAATCATTTATAGCATTCAATCGGGATTATAAAGTTTTGCTATAATTGATATTTCTTTTGCAACTCCGACAGTATTGTCTCATTTAATAACTGTGTGAGCTATGTTTAATTATACAAGATGCACTTGTGATGCATTCCGAATCATTATGACCTAGTTGAGAAACTGTTTCAAAGAGCGACTGCCCTTTCTTAATTAACGCTGTGAAGACACGTATTTTTTTAGTCTTGAAATGTCGCATTTTATTTCAAAGAAACGTTGACGAACATAACTAGCTAAATGTACATTTTAATACAAAAAAAAAGTTTCCAAGATTCTTTTGAAATTTTATTGTTGTGGCAAAAAATCACGTTTGTAAATTTTAGAAGTGAAATTAAATTTAATAAAATAAAAAACAAATAAAATTGTGAATACTATGTTTTCATTTTGAAGCGATAATGTCACTTCAATATAATAGAAAATTAAAAGTTGTAAAAATGGAAAAACAAAATAAATAAAATATTATTGTATAGGACAACGTTCTTCTTTAAATTAAACATCCGATAATGTAGCTTTTATATTACACCAATGAGTGAAAGAAAAAAATCATTTTATATCTATATATTCGACAGTAAACTATGTTTGAGATGCTTTCACATTTCGATAATAAAGAAAAGAGAACAGGAGAAGCCGCAGATAATACGATAAGTTTTCAAATAAGTTTTGCGACATAAGGAGTGGCATTATCGGTTTTTCTAATTCTGTTGTATTACGGATATATTTTTCATCGATGATTAAATTTACTCCAGAGATGGCGGAAAGAAAGGAAAGTAATTGTAATTTTTTTCGTACAATCTAACTCTTCTTAGATTATTCTGATAGACTTTGAAGTGTTTTTATCATCGTGGATACGATATCGAAAAGAATGATATAGAGTTGAACGTTTTATATTTATGTGTAATAAATAAATATATACGTATGTACATATACATTAGTTTCTCTTATAATTTTCAAAAATTGATTAAGATTTTTATGATGTTGATATCCCGTTTTTAAAGTCTCGATAAAAATAATACTGTGAAAAAAAAATATATTTCTTGAATAGTAGAAAGAGAAAGTAATTATTAATTAAATCAAATAATATCTGTTTACGTTAGTAAATATATTTATTTGCAATAAGGAAATTTACTTACAATTAGTACTATTTAAGAAAATATTATGAATTTCTAAGATTTTTTATATATTAAAGAAAGAATTTCAATGATAAAATATAAAAAAATAAAAACTACTAATAATAATTCTTCATTATGTATTGCATATAAAAATTTATGTTTTTTATTTCAAAATCGAGTATGACTCGACTTAAAATTTTTTAAAAATTGTACACACAAAATTTCCAAGAAAAATGCGAAATTGTAAAAGAAACAATTGATTTCTCTCTCTCTGGTGCATTCTTATTGACCTAGTTGAAAAACAGTTTCAAACGATTGCAGTCCTTTTTTAATTAACACTATGAAGACACATATATCTTTTAAATCTTGAAATGTCACATTTCAAGCATGAAATGAGGTGAAAATTACAAAAAAGAATAAATTCACGAGAATGTTTATAATTTTATTTGTCAGCATTTATCGAATTTGCTCACTTTGGTAATTTTCACTTGAATTACTAATGTTTACTTTCACCAATATGTGATGAATTTTAATCTTAATTCAACTTACTCTTCATTTTTTTCCATCTAAAATGTGCATATCCTATCCACTCGAAGTTTCTACGGTCCAACCAGATCCTAGAAGATCCAATCAGGTCCAACCGGTCCAACTGTTCGAGATGCTGAGTAGATATAATACCGACCATGCAACGCTCACCGATACCCGAGCACCATCTAGCGACGGTTCTGTTCGTTCGTTTCCATCCGTTTCCATCGCGTTTTCACGAACTCTGACCGTGCGGCGCCACTCGTAGCAGCCGTAGCCACTCGTGAGTTACCGTTCCGCGTCGTCGGAAGGTCGCGTCACACGTCGTCGTGATTTGTGATTGTTGACACCAACCGTAGGGTAAGCTTGATACAGCTGTGCGTTTGTCACGGCTGTACAGTTTCCCTCATTGTCAGCGGCACTGGAGCCTCGTCCGCAGTTTGCGTCTCGACGCGGCCACATTCAGGCTGTGTGTCCTGGCCAGCGTCACCCGTCACGTCGACAGTTCGAGCCGCATCATTGTCGAGAGACTGGGAGAGACACGGAACTGGGAAAAATGAGGTATTTACCGTCCACACCTGGCGAACGGATACAGCGTTCTCGCGTTCCTCGCATTATCTTGCTCTCTCTTGCACTTCCTCACGAATCATTTTTTTTTTCTGCGATCATCGTGTCGTCGATCGTGTGAAAGCGGAACGTAACGCGCGACGGTTGTTTTATGAAACGAGAGAAACGGCAGGACGTTCGCGAGCGGGAACGGGAAAGCGCATCCGCATTTACTTATCAGCCGCCATCTTTCCCGCGCTGATGTTTCTGCTCACCCCCAAGTGCTGGTTCGCGCCTCGGGCATTTAATTCGGGAGAATCAAAGGCATTGCGAGGATTTCTTCGTTGGAAAATATTCGCCTGCTGTTTTTTTCAGGGCATGCTTAAATGTATAGGTTTTTTTTTTATCGCTATCGTCTGTGCGTCTGGCCTGTGTTATACGTGGGTGTCTCTACGTGCCATATTATATATATCTAAATAGAGCGCGTGGCTTCCATGTGTATATATATACACACACACACATATACATGCTTGTCACGTGTGAGAATGGTGTCACGCCTAATTGTTGACGGATTACATGTGTGTGTGTATCGTCAAGGCGAACGTACGATGGTTTGAAAATGGCTGAGCCCGTAGAGACACATGTCTTTGTGTATGTATGGATTCTGATACGCGTGTCGCAGTACTTGTCACGAAGAAGCTGCATTGTCGTCGCGTGATTTTCACTGCGTTCACGTCGAGGTTTGGCGACGTTATCGTAAATTATCGAGTCACGTGCGTGATAGTTATGAACTGGAGTCTCGATCATAGTAATTCATGTAATGCCTCTGGGAAATATCGCTTCTACCGAGTATCACGGATTTTACATTATGCGATAACCCGTAATTAATTATGGGTGCGTTAATTTTTCTAGACGGATGCGCGATTGATGTCAGCGTCACAGTTGACATTTTAATACATCTTAAATTAGGTTAGGCTAAGTTATTTTGTATCTATTCTTTTCCGAATGGTGTGAACTTTATCTAAGCAGGTCTATTCTTTTTCAAAAAATGTTACTGGTGTATACCGGTGCAATAAGTTGGAACAAAACAAACTGTGTTTAGGTTTGTTTTTCATTGCGGTACTAAAAACTTTCTCGCTTTGGCCAAATATCAAACATGTATCTTTCATTCTAAAAATGTATAATACTAGTGCATTCTATGAAAAAATAGACTTATAGATATACCCCAACTTATTGCATCGGTTCAAAACTTTCTTCAAGAAAGAACAAGCTTATTTAGATCAAGTTTATTTTGTTTGTTGAGTTGTGGATAAAAATATGGGTAAATATAATTAAATTTTTAGAACAGTTGTTTATCTTAATTCTGTTATTTATAGCAGTAGATCACAGATGACTACGATGAATGGGAAGAGGCCCTCTTCGATACCATGTAGACATCAGCCAGAGATATTATCGCAACACTCTGACTTGATCAAGTATATCTATGATTGTAAGTATACATATGCAATACAATATAAATGATTGAAATATATTTCTCTGATATTTATTTTTTATATTTGTTGCATTGTTTCAGCATGGAATTCTGTATCTAGAGAGCTAGATATGTGTCACAATCAACCACACAGTAACTCCTCTAATTATAGAAATGGGGCATCAGTTACGTATTATCAAGAACGTGAGCCAAATCCACAGTTGAAAGGTAAACATTTTGCTTTTGTGCTTTATCTAGAAGCAAAATTGATACAATATCGTTATTGTATAATGTAAGTTTAATTGAAACTGGAGGATTTATCTTCTTTTATTTGTTTCTTTTTCTTGATCTTAGAAAATTATATGTGCTATAATGAAAGAGGTCAATTCCTATTCTTTAAAGATATTCAATTATTTTGTTTCATTATATTATTCCTTTTTTCTGTAAACTTTGTTTTATCTTATCGACTGTGGAATATATTGTGAATGAAGAGTATTATATTTCATATCTTTTTGCAGATTTTGAACCATTTAATTTGGAGGCATGGTGGGGACAGCGTGTTGTACAAAGTGTTATTACTACTAGAAATGCAAATTCCTAGTGCCAGGCCCAACATGCTGACTATAATCGGACATTTTCAAACAGACATAAGAAACAAAAAAGATAAATTGCAATTTTATCAAATTCAATTTTTGTTTCTTTTGAGATTCGTTTTATATTTTTGACAATGATACTTTAAAACTGGGATTCAAGCACAGAGATTGTAAGCATACAGAAAATATAAACAGTAAGACTTAAATATTAAGACGTTCGAACACAGGTAAAACAGAGAGTTTAAAATGGCAATTTTATATTCTTAAGAATTTTTTATGACAATCGATTAATTTATTTACTATTTATATCTTACTGCTTACATTTTTATACAATGAAAGAAAGACAATGGATATCAACACAAAAATTACAATTAAATCCCAATTTTGTTTTAGATATGTAATGTACGTATTTATCTGACAATTTTTTAATGTTTTAATAAGAAAAAGAAAAGAAAGAATGCGGATATTGTGTAATGTGAGATAAATATGACAGTAATGTGACAGAAATGTGTTGTTATGGATAGTAAAGAGGAAGATACGATAGAAATGTAAGCATTGCTATACAAAAACATTCCTTTTATATCAATCATATTTTACCAAGATATATTAAATTTTTTTTCGAGTTTTCTAAAAATATATATTAAACGAGAAATCAAGCATAAGAAACCATTTCCTTGTTTGTATTATTGTCTTTGTAAAACTGGAGAGAGATGTTTTATAATTTAAGAAAATTGTTTCGAACTATTTATTTTAGTTATTAAATAGCATGCGATATATAAATTCATATTAATATAACATTTTATTATATATAAAATTTATATATAATATAAATTCCTAAGATGCTGTACAATAGTACTGTATTTCCACGTTATTTAAAGAGAAATTAAAAATTATTATGTTTTTTTATCTTCTTATAATGTTGGGCAAAATATGTTGCTGCTCAACAATGCACAAAGCATTTACAGAGTGCTCAAAGCTTATTTGATAAAAGTTTCATAGATGAACTTTAGGACTCGTACTCTAGGATATATACACATAAATGTACCTTTTCACATGTTGCATTTCACATTTCCAAGATTTTTCACCCTCATGAAACGACTGCACTTAGCTAATACGTAAATTATAAATAAAAGCGTTTTCCACTTGTCGAGGGAGATTTTATTAACGTACGGGATAGATGCTGCACTTGAAATTAACTGCAATGTGAAATAGCGTAATGGTTATTGCGATTTTAAATATACAATACACATGTATATTCTTATTATTATGTATGTATGTACATCTATGCGTGTATAGTTATTATATTATGTAAATTTATTCAAATAATGTTTCTAATGACAAAATAATAAGCAATGTCTTTCTACATACATGTGAATTTTTATTTTTTTGTGTTCCGCTCATCCATCCTATTATATATAAATTCTCGTTGTAAGAAAAACAATTTACTAATATATGTTAAAATATAAATTATAATTTTGGCTCAAATTTTATAATGTGCTAATGTAATTTTATTATCTTTATTATAATACAGAACGTAAGAGTGCAAGAAATTTGTGGTTGATTAATATTCGGCGCACTAGGTCAAGCTTGTACAAGCTTGGACGGGACATACGAAATTCCTGAGAAACGATGAATTCTTCGAGTGCATTAGGGCTACTGATACGGTAGCTATTCGCGTGACATTTCATGAATGGAATGTGAGGTATAACAGAACTGCCAATAGCTGTCATACCAAAGACACTCTAGCAAATTCCAACTTTTTTGAAAGTAAACGTTCTGAATTTTATATAAAATTTTTTATTAAATTTTTTGGATAACGGTTATATTCGACCATTAATGAAGAGAGATCGGTTATCTGTGTCATATGTTAAATAATTTCTTCTTGAATGAAAATTTTGAATGATTGTTAATTATTCCACTTAGGAAAATTAATTAATGATATGTAATTAATGATTTGAAGATAAACTATTGCTGCTCGATGCGATAACAAAAAAATACGAATTAAATTTAATTTTTAAAATACCAGAACGAGGTTTACCTTCATCATTTCATGTATTTTTTTCAAATTTTTATTATATGTATATTTTATAATATCAAGAATAATAAATGTGTCAAATATAGATGAAAGAAAAAGAGAAAATCATATTTTTTGCACAACGTTTTAATATTTCATTCTCCTAATTTATTAAAAAAAACACGAGGAAAATTTTCAATTTATTAAAATTAAAACTGCCCAATCCTGCACGTAAGAATTTGACGAGAAATAAAAAGAATAGATCAACTCAAATATACAAATACGAGCAATTTATTAATACACGATTCATCGATACAATTTAATTGGAATGCAAGGAGTAAATTATTTTCGACATAATTCGCACTGTAAGACGTACGTTAAATATTTCGTGAATCCATGTTGAGAGCATTTCGTGGCGGTAAATTGGATGTTACGCGATGTTACAATACACAAAGGCAAGTGCTCAGTCGACCGTTTTGTTTTGGTAGCAGTGCCGAGCGCGCCGTTGTGTATACAAAGCCCCGCAGGCGTGACGTTATCATTCATCCGGTGAGAATGGGCGAGACTCGATCTGGTAGGTAATGTGGCGCGAGTGTTGTCCCTTTAGCTTTAAGGACGTGATCACGACGAGTAAGAAAACGCAATCCCTCTTGATTATTTAACGATTGATAAATTGCCGTTACTCACCCCATAGTTGTTCCGTTGTTGCTTGACGCCCTCCTCCTCTTCCTCCTACTCACAAGTTCTGTTGTTGCTCTTTCACAGCGAACCCACTTTCGCTTGCGAAAATATTGTTATTTACGATCATGCCATACTCTCGTTAAATCTCGCAACGCGGCGCGCATTTTGTTGTCATATTGTTGCGGAAGAATTATGCGAGACTTATAGGTAGAAAAATTATAATTAAAGTTATAAAATTATAAAAAACGATTTATACAATGAGATTTTAAGGCGTAAAACTTAAGCTTTAATCTTTGAGCCGTAAGAAATTGATTAATCATAATCAAATGTAAGGAGAATACTCGATTTGATTAATCAACTTTTTACGACTTAAGGCATAAAGTTTAAAGCCGACGGCACACGATGCTTGTTTTATTGCTGAATGCTAGCTGGATTAGAAGTCAGCACCGCAGGCAATGCGATGGCAAAAATCTAATCCAGCAAGCTATCAATCCAGCAAGAAAACAAGCATCATGTGTCGCCAGCTTAAGTTTTAAAATCTCGCTTTAAAATCTCATTATAGACGCCACTTTAAAATCATGTTGTAGACGTTTTAAAATCTCGTTGTAGACGCTGCTTTAATAAGATCAAGATAATATCAAGTTAAAATCAATTTAGGAAAAATTATAATGATGTTTAATTAACGCTTTTAACGATCATTTTGTGAATTCTTAACACAATGATTTTTAAGTGATTTTTAATTAAAAAAATCATATCACAAAATGTTATCGTCAAAAGTGTATCGAATGATATTATTATGATTTTTCCTAAATTAACTTCTACTTGATATCATCTTGATCTTATTGTTAACGAATTTAGTTAAATGCATTAGTGCATATTAAAACTATATACACTGATTTAATCTGACAATGAATGTAACAGTTAATACACATTCTACAATAAGTCATATAGTAATAAATCAGAAATCATAAGTTAGAACTTGACTAATCTCTCTCATAGTCAATTATTTTTCTCTCATTTGACTATGATTGGTCAATTTGGACTTCTAATTTATTACTAATGGCTTATTGTAGAATGTGCCTAAACTGTAAATATATTTCAAATTATAAAATACATTTCACCTAACAGCACAATAAAATGTATTGAAGATTTTGCGATTTAACTTGTTTCCATTAAATTTATATATAACTTATACAGGATATTTGGAAAGTAATGAAAAATCTTTCTCATAGGAGCAGAATGGAAACTGAGAAGAAAAGTACTGTACCATTTTACAATTTTCGCAATAGTTAACAAGATATTAATTACTAAAAATTACTCGAAAATTGGTCTTCAATAATTTTTTACTTAAATATTATCAACTTTACAGAAAAACTGAAAGAGACAGAAATTGACAGAAATTTTTCATTACTTTCCAAACACTCTGTATAATACATTTATATATTATAATAAGCATACATTTTTACACCAATCCGTGTTTTAATATTCGGATTTTAATATGCAGTGCGCACTGAGTGTCTAACCAATTTTCTAGCTAAAATAAACAAAAAACGCAAGTCGAATGTAGGGGAGAGCAAATGAAGTTTCTAAGAGGCGAAAAATTGAAATAACGAAACATAAAAAAACGTATAAATGTCTCTTTTACATTTTGTTCCAATTTTCGTTCCAATTTTCGCCTCCTAGAAATTCCGTTTTATACGCTTCTGTTACTCTCTCCTTTACATCCGATTTACGCTTCGATTTTTATTTTCGGGATTCGCTGTATGATTTTGTATTCTACCTGACGAGCGCGCAAAGCTCTATGATCCACTCGACGCTTGTGACGTTGCTAAATCAGAAATCGAATTTGAAACGGCGCGGCATGATGGCGCGGCGCGGCGCGGCGAAGAAGGTTGACAAAATTTCGCGGCTAACTTCAGGAGCAACTATGACCGTCGCAGTTCGTTGTATTACAGTAGGCGTCATTCACGCCTTCCGGCTTGAAATTTATAATTTCCTCCGAAGTCCTTGGGTGTACATCGTGTCTCATACGTGATTGTTAATCCTTAATCTTATAGTGCGCGAATAAATACACGAAATTATTAAAATTCAAGACGAACACATTCCCATAACAGAATGTTCGAGAAGACAACTAGGATCATCGTTTTGCTGAAAAATTCACTCTGTTGTGAGAGATGTTTTGTCAATGGCTGCGTTCGGCAGAAAAAGCAGCTTTGCAACTGTTGTTAAATTGTTTAATATGGTTGATTTAGACATTTAGATCCAGTGAGGAACTAAGGGCAAGGTCAATCATGTTAAAGAATTTTACAACAGTTGCAAAACTACTTTTGATGCGGAACGCAGCAACGCTCGCGCGATTGATCTCATTTAAATTCAATGTACGATTCAATGTACGACAACGCAAAATTTCCGCTTTGCCACTATACTTAATGTCGAGATGTGAAATACAGAATCGACCGTCGAGTCGATAATAGTTTACCATACCAATCGAATACCTGCACGCTTCTTGATTTAGTGCTGCGACATTCCATTAACGACGACGATACACGTTTGGAAGTAGTAGGTACCGGAAACTTAATCTCGCCGCGCGTGATACGACGCAAGTCAAGTTTAGAGACAAGCGACGCGAGAGACGACAAACGCCATTGATCATTCGCGAACGTAATGTCGTTGTATGTGAATGTGAGTGCATGAAGAAGAAGCAATGAGATGGAAGGCATGAAAGCTGAAGGGAAGAGGAGACCTGAGAGGCATCGGGCATCGGCGGAGCTACCACGGAGTGAGTAATGACTACTTATTTATTATCTACTTATTGTTCGATAGTGGATTTTCCTACGTTAAGACTCCTCGATTCATCTTCGCGATATTTTAAATTGAAATCCGTCATTATAGATTTACGGCGTATCGCGTTGATAAAAAACAAATTACGAACGTTCTGAAATGAACTTCATGATCGTAATAACGATCCATTCGTACGATGAATTTTCCATAAATTCATTGCGTGG